TCTCTCTCTCTCTCTCTCTCACACACACACACACACACACACACACACACACACACACACACACAAAGAATGGTAAATTTTGTCTTCTAAATCAGTTGTTTCTTAGACGTGTTGATCTGAGCTGGAAGAAACCTTGGAAATGTGTGTCCGAATGGTACATTTGACAGATGAGAAAAGTAAGGACTAGAGGACAACTGTGACGGCTTGGAACAGAGGCAGGGGCCCCTCGACACCAGCAGGGCCCACTAGGCACCTCGGCCTCCCTATACTCTTTCGCCTCCTGGTTTATTCCCATAGGTCATCAGCTTAGCACCTCTGTGGGCAGCAGGGAAAATTGATTTGATTGGTCAGGGGTGAGGCCCAAGCATAGGATTTTTATAAAAGCTCTTTAGGGTGATTGCTAAGTGCATTCAGTATTGAGACTTGCTTTCCCGTCCTCTGAATTTTGTGCTTTTCTTTCTCTCTCCACCCCTATTATCACTTCCCTTGTCCAGGCCACAGGCCACCATCACTGCTCCCAGCCTCCCTGTTTTCGCAGTGAACACGTCACGTCTAAAGTGTCCAGCGATGACCCCGCTGCTGGAAACCTGTGGTGGCTCCAACCCGACATGGAAGGCCCTGGAGGAGGAGGAGCCAAGCCCTGCCTTCTCCTCTGACCTTGTCTCCTGCCTCATCCGGGCTCCTTTCCTGGTGACCAAGCAATTCTGACCTCAGGACACATGTGCCCTGCCTTCGAGCCTTTGTCTGGCTGTGTTCTGACTCCTCTGTCCTCTGCTCAGTCAGCAGGCAGTTCCCGCTCAGCCTCAAAGGGTGAAGGTTCTGACTTGCACCCGCCTGGCTTGGCCCGGCCTTTGGCATCTGCAGCATCCGTACCTGTCGCCTTCTGACACCGGGTGGTGGGGACTGCTCCCCTGCTGGATGTGAGCTGAGGGTCAAGTCCACACTGCGCCCGTCCTGGCATCTCATGGTGTGTCTCATGGTATGTCCTCGATGAGCTTGACAAAATGCCTAATTCCTAAGCCTGAAGTGAGGTACACAGACAGAGTGTTCCCTCAAGACATCACCAACAGGTATGTAACAAGCTGGGCATGGTGCCGCACACCTATAATCCCAGCACCCTGGGAGGCCGAGGCAGGAGAATCAAAAGTTCAAGCCCAACCTCGGCAATTTAGTGTCTTAGTGAGACCCTGTCAAAAAGAAAGCACACAAAAAAGGCTGTGGATGTAGCTTAGTGGAAAGGCCCTAGGTTTAATCCTCAGGACAAAAAAACGAAAGAAAAGTGTAATAGGTGCTTAATAAATACCTGTCACGGTTATTTAACAAAAGTAATTTCCAACCCAAAAAGTCCACTTCACTCTGATGTTTCCATTATAAGTAATTTTTTTAATTTAAGAATGTGGATTAACAGGTAACATTTAATTCATGGAATTGTGCATGTGGTCATCAGTTACATTGTGAGGTGTTCACTTCCTTATTTATTGGCACTGTCAACCGAATACTGTAAACAAGATCACTTGGTGTGCATTAAGTCTGCAATGCTCCCTAGCTATGGTTTTCTACCAAGAGCTTATATATATGCAGGTATAGGTAGGTACAGATAGAGACGTATTAATGTGCACAGCTTTGCATGGTTACTGAGTATCAGTAAAAATTATTAAAAAAAAACAAATTTATAATAAAAGGGAGGATGTGCGAAGACTCACTAGTATTGGACCTTGTTTTCTGTAAAAGTGACAATACTTGCTAGAGACATTTACTAAACTCTACGGTACTAATGCATGATGGCTGATGTCCCACAGAAGCTGTTGGGTCAGGAGCTCTTCCTCATCAGCCCTGCCGTAGACAGGAGCCTGTCCACGGGGCTTCCTGTGTTTCCTCCAGTGTCTTCCGAGTTGCTACCATCTTGAGCTCTGCCAAAATCCTTACCTTGAAATTCTTCTAGCTAAACCTCTAGTCCCCTAAAGAAGATGTCTCAGGAACTCAGCATGCCCTGAATACACAAGAACTTGTTGTCAATGGCTTAAAAAAAAAATTTTTTTTTTTAATGGGAAGTATCTTCCCTTCTTAAGGAGTGAATAATAAATCTGGAAATGATTTTTCCAGACGAACTGATTCCATTCCTCTGTCAGTGCCCCAGGAGGAAAGAACAAAATAGTGGAGCCACTCCCTTCACTGTTTCCAGCTGTGCTCTGGCTTGAAACCCTTTGGACTCCAAGAACCTCACTGAACATTGGTGCCCAATGCTGAAGTCCCCAGAAGGAATGTACCTAAGCCAATAAACGAATGGTGGTTTGCATTTTTTCCTGTTTGTTAAATAAGGCCTTGAACCTTGGGATATTTGCCTGTGGAGTCTGGCTTCCTATTGAAAGGTATGAGACTGTGAACTTGGTGCCTTTGCACCTGTGTTCCTCCTCGCCTTGTCTGCTTGGAGAACTTGTGTTCATTCTGCAGAACCATGCTCAAATGTCCCCTTCTCCTTGAAAGCTGCTCTGACCTGTAGGAGGATTGGAGTTCTCTCTCTGACTTATCTAGTCTTCTGCTGTTACTGTACTTGTCAGGCTGGTTTAATTATTGGTTTGAGAGTCTACTGTTCCCACTAGGATGTGAGTCCCTTTTATTTCAAGTTTGTATTCCTGGTGCTCAGCACAGGGCCTGGGATGGGGCAGGTATTTCATGGAAGTTTGATGAGTGAGGGAAGACGGAATATAAATAAACATACAGATGAATGAAACCTTGCAGCAAGGGGGAGGCATAGATCCTCACTTAGTGGGCGGTGCAGATGGCCTTGGACTGGCAGAACTCCGTACGAAAAGTGGCTGATGGGCTGCCGACCGCAGGAATGCAGAGCGAACTGGATCTGTCCACGTCTGTTAAATGTCAGTGCGTTTCATTTCTCACGAAAAAGAGGTTGATGACTGGGACTGAGGAAGAGAGAAAGCTGACTCTTTGGATGATTAGTTATTAAAAGAGCCAAGTGCTGCATCAGGAATCTTGACATCCTCATTTTCCAAAACAGCCGAGGCACCGGGAGACCAAGTGGCTTCCTTCTGGACAGAGAACCAAGCCAGACTCCCGCAGTCTGCCCACTAAGTAATGTCTCATAGCGGCGGGACTATCAAGTGCTCTGTGAGGAGCATGTGAGGTCGAATCAGTTCCCAGAATGTCTCACCTCCTGCAGACTCTTCAAAGGCATTTCATTGTGTGCCTGCTAATCTCCAGGCTCAGGCATCTTAAGAAAAGCTCAGATTAGAGGCAAGGACAAGGAAGCCACGTCAAACGAAAAGGCTGCCTTTGCATGTGTGTTGCTCCGGTGCCTTTAATTCATGGCACTTCTCTCAAGAGGAAATTGAGTCCAGCAATGGCCCCTCAAGATGACGAGTGAAAGCTGGAGAGAGCCCCCCCAGGATGGGGGACCAAAGTCAGACCCCAAGAGGATCTGGCCTACGCTTCTGGGGTGACAGGCTTGTGCTTCTGACCCTTTGGCTCAAGTATGTCCCCTGGGCACTCAGGCTGCAGGTCCCTCCCACACTGCTGTAGGCTGACATGTGTTGGGGGAGTGGAGGATATTGAATAAAAACCATAGATGATGCCACCCAGAGCTCCTCCAAGGGCAGAGGCCCTCAAGGACAGAATCCAGTTTAGAGAAACCTCCAGTTGGACTGAGGGGTGGCCCGCCTCATCAGGAGACCAGATGCCCCCTCCCCGGCCCCAAGCTCGGTCCTCATGTCCCCACATCACAGCCTTCCTATGAGCCATTCAGTCCCACTGAACCCTAGATGGGGCACCCCAAGCTTGGGGGCTGGGTGAGAAGGTGAGCGCAAATCGCTCCTGGAGGATGAGGGGAAGCCAGCATCTCTGATCACCAAACAGGGCACCTGAGATGAACCAGAACCCAAGAGTCCTGGCCACCAGTCCAGGAGAAGGTATGATTACCTTGACTGGCTTCCAAAGAGACGGTTGGGGTTGGTCACGGGTGGGGAGAAATATGTCCAGGACCCCCGTGGCCCTTCCCAAGACTGTCCAGGGGTCAAGCAGAATTTCTGGGCTTCAACCGGTGTGTCCCATCGGCTCTCCAGGCAGGAAACCCCAAACCAGCCCTTCCTTCCCTTGCCCTCCCCCCACCCCACAGCCACCAAAAACATCCCTTCCCCACAAATAACCTTTCTACTTATGCATTCACCTCTGATACTTTAAAGTGGAAACATGAATTAGGCAAACTAATCACGCTGACGACTGCTGAGATTGAGGCTTTCTCGGAGTGCAGTGGAAATGGCTGCTCTACTTGAAGTCTGCTAAGATGTCATTGAAGATATTGAGGAACAGCTGAGCGTGGTGTGCCCTGAAGACCAGTGTGGGACGGAAACGGATGGACTTGTCGCCACAGCCTCCCAATACCACACCTGGGAGAAAAGGCAGGAGGATAAAAAAAAAAAAAGGTGAATGTTTAAATTTTAATGAATCGATTACAATAAAAGACACATGGCGTTAATGCACCTCAGAATACTCCTCCTCACTCGGAATACACTTCCCGTTCTTGCTACCTTCTGAAGCATTTCTGAAAGTCCTCTTTGTAAGTGTCCTCGGTTGTGCTGTCCTGGCCGCCTCAATGTCCTGAACTGAATGGAAACCTTTACCTTTTACGGTCATTTTGACTTTGGAGAAGAGCCAGAAGATGCACAGTGCCAGATCCAGTGAATAAGATGGATGAGGACCCATCGGAAAGTTTTTATTTGACAGAAATTTCTGTGAACATGAACTGATGCAGGACATCAAGGCAGCCATGAAGAGACACTCAGGAAAGAGGACTTCCAGACCTGCTTCTTTTTTGGTGCCAGAGATCGAACTCGGGTCCTTGTGCTTGTGAGGCAGGTGGCGGAACCAGTGAGCTAAATCCCCGGCCCCAGACCTGCTTCTGAAGGCAGCAAGAATGATGATGGGAGAAGTATGTTCCAAGATAGGGGGATAATTCTGAGGGGGATTAGTGACAGTATGTCTTTTATTGTAATCCATTAAAAAAAAAAAAATGGAAACATTCACCGTATTTTGTGATCACACAGTGTAGTTAGGTGTTTGGTTGCCACCATGCCCGGCTTCCCTCCCGACTTTGGATGCTTGCTTTCCTTCCCATGCACTAGGGAGGATGGTAGAGAAATCCTGAGATAAAGAGGTAAAGTCCTTGCTGGCCAGAACCTCATGGTGTGTGTTTGCGGGGGGCAGAGCTAGCACCAAACACGTTACAAAAACACAAACCCAGGCTAAGTGGGAAGTAGTGGGGGCGTGCTGAGGATTGAACCCAGGGCCTTTGCACTGAGCCACTTCCTCAGCCATTTATTTTTGTCTTGTGACAAGGTCTTACTAAGTCACCAAGTTGCCCAGGATAGGCTCGAATTTGCAGTTCTCTTGGCTTAGCATCGCGGAACACTGGGATTACAGGCGTGCACCACTGTGCCTGGCTGACCCTACGTGTTTGGAAGGGAGACATTACCACCTGCAGCTTGGCGTGTTTGTTCAGGTAGTTCAGCATCTTTGGGAATAGGATTCCTTCTTTCTCTCTCTCTCTCTTTTTTTTTTTTTTGGATAGAACCCAGGGCCTCACCCATGTTAGGCAGGACTTGTGCCACTGAGTTGCACCTTGGCACTACTTTTTCTCATTTTAAAAATGAGGCTATTTATCCCTGCCCTTCAGGGCTGCTGTAGGGATTATAAAGACGAAAAGACCTGGGCTGGGGATGTAGTTCAGTGGCTCTGTGCCTGCCTTGAGTTTGATCTCCTGTACCAGAAAAAAGAAGAGAGAGAGAGAGAGAGAGAGAGAGAGAGAGATACGATCTGACCTTGGGCCCGATATACCGCAGGAACTCGGATTGCACCATAGTAGCCCCCGCTTAGAACTCAAGGGCCTCCTGTAGCTCTTCTGCTAAAATCGTCTTGAAGCTGAGGTGACGTGGGCCTGGCATTCCTCCCCCTACCTCCCCCTGTCACTCCTGACGGCCCCGTGTGTTCCATTTCCCAGTTCTCTCCTTTGGATGCTCCATCCTTCCCTCTGCCTAGCACGCCCTGCCTCCCCTTCTCCACCTGGCTGCTGGCCCTGCACCAGTCAAGCCTTCAGGTCAAATGCCCCTTCTCACGGAACCCTCCCCGGACTTCCACATTTCCCCAGCGGTTCAGCTCTCTTCGCCTTTCCTCTTGCCCGGGGCTTATGAGAGCAGCGGATAGCTGGTGAGATGTTGATTCACTGTCCCCTTCCTGCTGGACCCGGGCTCCCTGAAGGAAGGACCCTGAAGGTCTTCGCTGTGAAAACCCACTGTGGGCACAGCTCAACCTTCTCAGTGGCCGCTTGCCGCTTGATTGAGTGGATACAGAAATCCCCCCAGGGGGTGAGCTGTGGCCTAGTGGCAGGAGCACTTGCCCAGGACATGCAAGGCTTTTCATCCCCAGCACCACAGGCGTGGGGAAAAAAGGAATCCCACAGTGACTTAAGAAAGAATAGTTATGCTATGGCTGTATGTACCTCATGGTTCCCACGGTAACTCAGCAATATTTTCCACCCGCGTTAGGTAATGTTGGACATTGATGAAGCTTAGACGGACACTCCCAGGTCCCCTTACCTTTGTTTCTGGCGATTAAAATGAGTTTATTCCGTATGGAATCATCTGGAGCATCAAAGGAGCAAAAGGTACCTCGTCCTCTTACCCTGCTCATGAACTGAGGGTACCGGGCCTGCAGCGAGAGAGACAAGGCTGGCATCAAATCCTGTTAACTGGGTTCAGCTGGGCTTAGTGGCTGTCCTTCCTCAGATGGCCCTGTGGTCCTGCGATGGGGCTCTGCCTGGGCCGGCAGGACCACGGTGGGTTACGAGCTCTGAAGACACCCAAGTGTGTCTCTCACCATGCGACCGTGGGTGAGTTACTGCAGTGATCCATGCCTAGTTTCCTCTTCTGTGAACTGCAGATACAAGTGCCACCACCCAAATGAGCTGCCATGAGAGTTTAGTGGGACGCACGGGGCCTGGCACTTGGTAGGTGCTCCACAGACATTAGACATCTCTGCTATGGGCTCTCTCTAGAAAGGAGGTAGTTCTTCTGGAGAAAAAATGTTTAACCTTACCCAAGAGTGGCGACTGGGAGACAGATTGGGTTGACTGGTGCTCTGCCACCCCAGTTTGTCAGTTCAGCTGGAACCTGTGAGTGTGGCCTTATTTGGAAGTAGGAATTTTGCAGATCCAACTAGTCAGGTTGGGATGAGGTCTTACTGAGTGAATCTGGGCCTAGTTCCAGTGACCACTATCATCATTAGATGGAAATTGAGACACAGAAACTATTTGCACAGAGGTAAAAAGGACAAGTGATGGTAGAAGCAGAGACTGGATTGATGCTGCCACAAGTCAAAGAATGTCCAGCATTACCAGCACCCACCAGAAGCTGGAAGAGATACACAGAACAGATTTTCCCTTGGAGCCTCCAGGAGAAAGCAACCTTGCTGACACTGTGGAGGCTTCTGGCCTCCAAAACTGCTCGAGAAAAAGTTCTTGTTATGAGCCATCCTGTGGTTGTTACAGCAGCCCTAGGAGACCTGAAAAGGTGCCTGGACCAGAAGACGATGATTTCTTTGCGTCTTCCACCATCCAAACCATCTCAGGGTTCTAGATACAGAGTGAGGGAGCACGCCTTGTTTTGTGACGGTGCCTTGACAGAAAACAGCACGTTGTGTTCTGGTGGTGGTAGAGTCAGGCCTTTCCATTCCCTCTTCCTTACCCCACAGGGGAAGAAGGGCCCACTTTCGTTCCCACAGAGGGTAGGAATAGGGCTCCAGCATTTGCTCTACCCCTTCCTTGCACTTGCTATTGCCTGGGAGCCGGTGACCGAACACCCCAACACACGCACATCACAGTGTGGTCTCTGGAGAGGCAGGGATATGCTGCCCCCCGCCCCCTAGTACTCGGGATTGAACCCAGGGCCTCATACTAAGCTATAGCCCTAGCCCTTTTTGTTTATTTTGAAACTAGGTCTTGTTAAATCACTAAATCGCCCAGACTGGTGTGAGACCTAAATTACAAGCCCTTGCTAAATGGCAAAGGGCCTAGGAGACAGTGTCCTGAACCCCTCCCATTATAGCTACAGCCCCGACCTTTGTTCCAGCCCTGGCCTAAGAATGTGGATCACTCTTGTATTGTTTGAAGTCCGGATCTGAATCTACCTATAAATTAGAGACTCCAGACATAGAACCCCAAATTAATTGACAAACTGTTTGCTCATCCGGAGTGTCTTGATGACCTTTGAGACATCCTATAGATAATACCTGTTACTCATCAATATGTGACTGCTGACCACCAACTCAAGTCAGCAGACCTTTGTCCCCTGTCTGTGAGCCCAAAATATTAACCCCCTCCTTTTACTCCCTATAAGAGGACCTCGGCCCCTGAGCTAGGCACCTCTCTGAACCAGCCACTTGGTTCTGAGAGTGCCGTCTGGCCAGACTAATAAAGGTCTTTTACCATCTAGCCTGGTGTGTTCCTTCCTGGGTTTCTCGTTCTCCGTCGAGCTCCCGGAGCCTCGCTGGGTGTTAGGGCCCAGCATCGTGGAGGCCTTTTTGGCTGTTCACGCTCCATGGAGTGGAAATGAGATTTTAGGTCTTACATATTGGAGGCCCCAGCGAGATACCCAGGCGGGAACTGTAAATCCAGCCGAGATTCTCTGTTGCGAGATCCAGCAGGAGATTCTCAGACACAGACCTTTGAAAGCCTCCGGAGATAAACTTTGTGCTGACAGTTACAACTGTCTTGTTTATCAGAACCGAGGTGGCTGACGAGCCGGGAAACCTCCCCTGACCCCGGCCCTGACGAGGATTCCGGATAATAAAATCAAAGCTTTTCTTTTTGTGTGGCGCCTATCTGTCTTATCAGTGTCTTGTGTTTTGAGTGTTAAACCAAAATTTATTCCTAGGATCAGGATGGGAGGATCCAGTTCCAAGAACACCCCACTGGACTGTTTTCTCACTAATTTTAAATTGACTTTTTCCCTTGAGCAGGAAAATAAATATGAAATCAAATTCTCCCACGAATAAAAAAGAACTATCTGACACAGCCCATGTTAGGCCTTGACCTGAGTCCCACCAGAGAGAGTGACCGTCTGCCTCCTCGGAAGGAAAAAGGTACACCCCTAAGATTTCCTGGGTTCCCTTTCTAAGACGCGGAGGCCAGCTTGCCGGTAGCCCAGCTCGCCGGTAACAGAAAAATAAATAAATAAATAAATAAATAAAATCATCTAAATGATAAAATCCCCTGGGTTACTCCCTAATTTGTCTTTGAAAGGAGACCCAGGGAGGAAATATATTAACTTCTTATGTGACTATATATAAAAAAAACTTAGTTAAAAAAATAAATACAAGAAACTAAAAAAGCCAATAATAGCCTAATATATACATCAAAAGAAAGGGAAGAGGGCTTACGCTTAAAAAACCCTCCAGACAAATAAATAAGACTATTTTCTAGAAAAACACCCCACCCTTTGTCTTGCGTCACCGTCACCACACAAGAAAATATCTAATGATAATAGAAAAGGCTAATACTAAACCAACTCTTCTTAAATACATAATTCAAAATTTTGATAAAGATTTTATGGGAAACTATAAGATAAAACTACAACCAAAGAGACTTAAAACTTTGTGAATTATCTTGATCTCAACTAAGCCAAACTTTGCCCACAAGACAACTCTATACAAAAAAAAGTTATCTGCCTTTATTTTACTTACCTGAGACTTTAACAATTTAGAGCCTTGAATACTCTCAAAACTACTCAAACTTCTATTCCGTGATAATAAACTACTAATGAGACTATTTAATTTTAATTTTGAAAAATTGCTTGCCAAATCTACTATTTTCCCATGATAAACTTGCCTCTCAGAAAATGTGACATCATTACAGACAAATCCCAATATTTACCCTTTGGAGGAGGTCGAGCTGCCTCCCCCTCCCAGGGTTACTAAAATTAAAAATATAGAAAAAGATAAAAAACAAAAACAAAATTATTTAACTTTTCTACACTGGAAGATACAAATGAAAAAACATGATGAAACTCAAAAAAAAAATAAAACAACTTATACCCAGATTAAAAAAACTAAAATAAAAAATAATAAATTAAAATCAGATAAAAAAACTCTAAAAGACAAAATATAAGAGAAAAAAAAAAACAAAAAACAAAACAAAATACTGCAACCCAGAGAAACTGCATTGGGTTTTGCCAGACATCAAGAGATTTTTTACAAGAAAAGTCAAGTTAGAAATTTTTAACTATTTGATAAATGTATCTGTGTTTCAATTTGAATTGTTTAATTGGTGTTCTTAAAACACTTCTTGTGCATTGTAAATTCTTGAATTACAATTATAGGGTTAACTTGCTCTTTTGTACTTTGTTGATAAA